ACCCCTATGATTTATCTTGTGACCCTTTGAAGGGACTCCGACCCTTATGTTGGGAACCACTGAACTAAACTAACTAACTGTATATAAAGTAGTTAAAATTAGCTGGACCAGCAAAAATATAAAATGGTAATAATGTCATATAAAAAAGTATATCAGTCACAGGGGGCACTTTTTAGCTGAGTAAGTACATTTTACTTTCGACACTGCTTTATCAAAAACGGCACATCATGACCGTCATGAAGGTCAGATTTTCTGCAGGACTGCTGCATTAGACTGTATTAGTTTTAGCTGCTGTAGGTGTACCTAATAAAGAGGCGACTGGGTTTAAATATGCGACTTGTATGTACAGATCATGTCCATGTATTTTAAGGTGTTTATGCAGTGTCTGTGAACCACCAGGGGAGGGAGACTCTCACTCACATCAAAGTGTCACACCTGTCACTTCAGAAACCGTCAACTGCTCGGCTGATGTTCCAGCTCGTGCTCATTATGTTTGTGTACAGACACACATTAAACCCTCACTCAGCGAACCTGTTCACTGTATTGCATAATACCAGATATGTTCTAGCTGTCACTCGTTTGATCCACGTAGCCTCAGTGAACCCTACATTCAGCTGGGAATAATACCAAATACACTCTGGCCACAGGGCCACTGCAGGACAGCCTGCAGCAACCAGAGAGAGAGATTTTCTGGATGCCCCGGGAGTGTGAGAGGAGCGTAAACAATACAGAGTCTGGTCCCTTCCTCTCATTGTTCTTGCCGCTCTGGCTGCAAGACCATTGTTTGATGAGAAGCTGATTGGCAGATGCGGTGGAAGTGATGAATGAGTGCAGCTCTGTGGTGAAGACAGACCCATCAGTGTGAGGTGTTTTCTTTCATTTCATTTCATTGTGACTTTATTTAAATTATCCTTTATTCAGTCCAGGAAAACTGCAGCACAAAGGCTTACATAAAGGATGAGCCAAAATAAGCAAACACACTGAGATACAAAATGACAGATTATAAAATGAATAAAATAGTAAAAGGGCAAGATAAAGCCCAACATGACCCACAAACAGTAGGAGCAGCTTAAAGAGGAAGAGCCTCAAAGCATTTCAGGAGATTTTTAAATTCCCCACGTGACTTCAGAACAGAAAGGGCAGAGTATCTGAAACACAAGCAACAGAACATGGGCACATTTATACAGCCAGCTGTACAAGATGCAATGTCTTCATAAAACCAACTACCTACACTCGACTACTAAGAGAGAAGGTCAGTGTGCAGAGAAATAATATTCCATGACACAGACTTGGCACAGAACATTTCCTGCACCACAAACTGTGGAGCTATGCGGGGAGTCACAGAGGAAATAAAGGAAAAGAGATAAAGGGATATTATAAAATTTGCTCAAACTCCTGTCATCTCACAAACTCTCTTTTTTTGTCTTTTGTTTTGTTGTCTGGTTGGTAATTACTGATGAGAAGACCGGTTCTTTTAAGTTACCCAGTTTGTGTCGTTCACCCGCCACTAGCGAAGTGAGTCATGAACGACTCTTTTGGATCTTTTGATTCACCTACACTTGGGAGATGTGTATGAGCAGTGAGTTTGCTTTTTTTGTAGTCTAATAAATAAATAATTCTCTGGCACAAAGTAGCCATCACAAATGTACCTTTATGATTTCAGTCCCAATTGGCTATCGTTCTTCGGATCAGTGACTGCGTTAGCTCGTTGAATGAGTGCGTCACTCACCAGCAACTCTCACTTGATGTTTGGCTTAGTGGGGGTGTGTTCATGAACGACTAATGCTTCAGTTAAGGGGGTGCGTACCATATAGACAGTGTGGAGCAGCAGCTCCTAGAAGATAATCTGCCTCTTATGCACAACTGCATATGCACCATATAGAGGAAAATTTTGGATTTCCTACAGATTGCAAATTGAGTTCATTTGTTCCTCTATAAGAGTTGTTCAAAAACATTCTTTCTTGAATTTAACATCACTGATGCTAATGTCTGTCTGTCTGTCTGTCTGTCTGTCTGTCTGTCTTGTTTCACTCTGAACCACTTTGGAAATTTTTCATTCATGTACAAAACCAATGAATCCTAATGATTCCTGCTAAACTAACAACATTCCCATCACCCTCAGCTGTACTGTGTTTAGTGCTAATTAGCAAATGTTAGCATGCTAATGTGCTAAACTAACATGGCAACCATGCTAAACATCAGCATTATAACATTGTCACTGTGAGCATGTTGCAATGCTAATGTTAGCATTTAGCTCAGAGCAGCTCCACAGAGCTCTTACTGTGTGCACATACAGAACACAGCAAATATTAGATGACGCAATTACATACAAATGTTTGATATGTTAATCTCACTACAGTGTACACAACTGAGGGTCTATATAAACAAGGGAGTGATTTTCAGACACAACAGATGTTTCTCCACCTCTGAATGTGATCAGTTGCCATTATTGTCCATTGGTTCCTCCTTTGTCTCTGTCCTTCAACTTCTCTTTTCTGTTCTTTGTTCTGGCTGAATGAACTCCAAACAATCACTCAAATGAGCAAATCATTAATAATTGATAGATTAGAGAAGTGCATTTTACACTGAGAGGCACCAGCAGGCAGGCCCGTGTGTGTCTGAGGCTCAGTTATACAAAGGATACTACATCTGTACTTTAAAACGACATCTACATTTTTAATCATTACATCTTCACACGATAGCTGTGTCTGGAGCATTTTTACCACAGCAAAAATATCAGTTTAGGGATGCACCATATTGGATTTTTTGCCAATATCCAATATGCCGATATATAACAACTTATTTTGCCGATATCCGATAACCGATAACTGATATCAATATATCAACTTTTTTCCCAACCTAATTTTAGTGATCAAGTCTCTTCTGTGTGAAATATGCATGAATACTCTTATTGTGACGGCCCATCAGCAGATGGAGACATGAAATACAATGCTTTTCAATGAATCTAATATTGTATTCATTGTGCAAAATACAAAAAAGCATGTTGGCCGATACCAATGACGTGCCGATATTATCGTGCATCCCTGTACCTGTTATTATGTTTATACACAGTGGAGATGCTGTACAGGCTCCACTAAAGTATACCACTTACTCAGAGGGATTATGGCCTTTACATACAGCATGTCCTTGCCTGCAGAGCTTCACCTGTACATTCTGCACATGAGAATAAAAATGGAAAGAAATGCTTTTATTGACAGCTGCATTAGTGTTCTGTCTCTGGTCCACAGGTAGCTCTGTCAGACGATATTTCTACAGCACCAGTCACACTGCTTGCTCTGAAACTGCCCTTTGCATAGCCAGATTTGAAACAGACTTATCTGCATGCAGTGTATACATTAGGGGTGAGCGATATATATCGTTAACGATAATATCGTCATTGTTGTTTTAACGATGTGCAAATTTACGTTATCGAGTATACAAATGACTTTACAAAAACAACTGAAAACACACACTGAAAGGTTGAAACCCCAGTACCGCCGCAGTACACCTAGGTGGTCACATGATCTCTCACTGGCACCTTCCCGGCAGGTTAGCCTGCTGCTAAACAAACATCAGCGAGACAACATAGCAACACCGCCCACAGATGCTCCAACAGCTTCGGAAGACGTGGGTCAACTGTAGTGATAGGTCCCAGCCTGTCAGGCTAAAGTTCGCAGTACCGGAAGACCATCTACGGAGCTACCTTGCCTAGTCACAGTTAGCTGAACGAAGTGGCAACATGGCACAGTTTCAAGTCTCCCCACCGGAAAAGTTCACCTTCAAGGCTTAAGACTGGCCTAAATGGATTAAACGCTTTGACAGATTCCGCATTGCGTCTGGATTGGAGAAGCAAGCAGAAGACAATCGCAGGAATGTGATCTTTGAGAGAGCAAAGTTTAATCAGCAGCATCAAGAAACGGGCGAGACGGCCGACAGTTTCATTACGGCGCTGCACTGCCTGGCGGAGCACTGCGGTTACAGGGCTCTACATGATGAGATGGTGAGGGACAGGCTTGTGGTGAGTCTGCGGGACAAACGCCTGTCTGAACAGTTGCAAATGGACCCGGAATTGACGCTACAAAAGGCCGTCACCACAGTCAAACAGAGTGAGCAGGTAAAAAAGCAGCAAGAAATGTTAAGAACATTTTTCCATTAATATCATCCATGAGAAACAATTAATAAACTATAACTCAGGCTATTAAAAACACATATTAAAAAGAATATCGTCTAATTATCGTTATCTTCAAAATCCCCCAAAATATCGAGATATTATTTTTTGTCCATATCGCACACCCTTAGTATACATACTGTGTGCACGCAAATGGAACTCACAGCGCCGCACTTGAAATGGTGTGACTCAATTCAGTATGTTCTTTGCCTGATATAAGACCGAATTGTAAACTTGTTACACTCCGTTTCAGTCAACTCGAACTCAGTGGAGTGGGCGGATTCAACGGTCTAGACCCAAGTATGTTACCTAACTGCTTAGACTGGTTCCTGTGGAGCTCTAAGTTGTGGGTTAGGCATGATGTAGTGATGATGCTGCAACGTGGCATTTTTACCCACAGCTTCAACACTGTTAATGTCCTCATCTAAAGTCATGGGCTGCAACTACTCTTTATTGTCATTATTGATTAATCTTCTTCTTATTTTCTTGATTAATTGATTATTTATTTCATCTATCATATGTCAAATTTGTTGCTTTCCTCAACTAACTACAAAATCCAAAGATATTCAGATTTACTATGATGAATGCAAAAATTAATTTCAAAATTTAGGAAGCTGGAACCAGCAAATAGTTAGCATTTTAATATTTGGTTGATCAACTGATCATTATTGAAGCTCTACTACAGTAAATTAAATGTCTCTTCACCCAGCCAGAGAAGTGATGTGTGTGTGCAGCCGTGACAGAAACAATAACATAACCACACCAATGTATTTCTACAGTACGAGGTGGATGGGCATGTGTGGTGTTATTTAGGATTCTTCATGTGGCTCACCCAGTGTAGTGATGTACCGATGCAGCCAAGGCGTTGCCTGATCCACTAGGAAGGATACCCAGTGGGGTCCGGATGGCCTCTTCCCAGTCTGGTCTCTCCAGCAAACCATTTATCACCTGACAGACAGAAAATACAGCTTTGATTAGGTGGGCAGAAAGAAATAGATATCAACTCATCATTGTATTGGAGCACACAGGCCTGTTATTCTAACCTCAAGGCTTTTACGATACTGACTGAAATGTGCCTGGGTAACAAAAAGATTCTTCTTAGTCTTGTTCATTTATCTTTTAAATCAGATTTTCCTATATTATAGACTCTATGCTTCATCAGAGTTCATACACTGTTGCTGGTGTTAAAACATTGAAGATGAGTTTTTCTAAAAACACTTTTCATTTAACAAAAGAAGCAGTAGAAGATCCAGCTCTGGAAACAGACCTGTGAAATGTTGATGCAATGTTTTAGTGTCCTACAATAATGTAAAGCCACACTGTTTGTGCATGTGGATATGAATATCGTGAACATATGCAGGTGTCTCTCTTTACCTCAAACAGGAGTCCATCTCCAGACATGATGACTAGAGCGTCCCACTGTGAAAGGTCAGCCTCCTTCACCAGCTCTCGGGCGTGGTTCTGCCGCTCTGCAAAAATCACACACACATATAAATACCAAGTGTGTGTTCACATGGGTGTGTGTTTCCTGTATAAAAAATTTAGAAAGTAAGAGAGAAATTTGTGCTGTCAGCTTCCTCTCTCCACAAAGAGGTCAGAGGTCACGGTCAGCTCTAATGGAGGTGTGAGAGACATTCGGTGTCTTGCTGGAGGACATTTCCATTGGTGTTTGCTTTCAGAAGCTCAAGTTACACGTGTCACAAAAACGTCAGTCTTATTTAAATAACAACAAAAAGAGATCTCAGGTAATCGAAGAGCCCTGGTCCTCCTTGTAATCTTCTCTTTTACTCTCCAGTTGCCAAATTAAAGTATCACCGTGGGAGTGAAAGCTGATATACAGTCTTAAATGAAGCTTCTGCCACATTGCCAATTAGATTGGAACAACTAAATTACCCAGGAGCACTTCATTAAATTAATCTGGGGCTGAATGATCTGATGAAGTGGGGCCTCGGTGACAGCTTCCTCTTAAGGTGAACGACACCGGGGGAACTTTTTGAGAGATTGTCTGTACTGGCATCGGTGTGCACAAGGAATACAAAACAGGACTAATTAAAGGAATACTGCACTCAAATGACCATTTGTATATCAATTACCCTGTGTTAAGTTGAGTTTGTGAAGAAAACATTTGCACGTCTTGCATGCCTTTGATGAACAAAGAATCCAAAAACTGAGAATATTCTTGATGAATAAAAGTCATAGTGCTCTGTGTTTACCAACAACAAAAATATATCAACACAACTACTTACAAACGCTCACACAACTCATGCAGTATAAACAAGTCTCATTTATCCAGTCGTGTGCTCAGTACTTTCCAAACACGTGCATTTTGGCTAGAGCCTTACTATTTAGAACTGAACTAAAGGTGAAATTTATCTGTGCTCTCCTAAAGACAGACTCCATTGACAAAAACAACGATTTAACCTCACTGAACGCAGGAGCTGCTGGTCTACCACTGCCTCGACTGGTAGTTACTTTGTGTTATTGTATGACTTTGTTTTAAACGGTTAGTTCAGATTCAGCAAAGTCACACAATAACACACGCACAAACTACTAATCGAGGCTAGCAGCCCCCTAGTGTTCAGCAAGGTAAAATCACTGTTTTTGTCAATGGAGTTTTGCTTTAAAGAGAGCATAAATAAGTGTTGCTTTGATTTCAGTTCCCTGTCATAAAGGGCTGTCTGTTTGTAAAGTACTAAGGTTATGACTGGATAAATGAGACTTGGATTATACTGAATGAGTTGTGTGAGAGTTTGTAAACTGATATTTTGATATAGTTTTGCTGTTGTTAAACTTGGACCCCTATGGCTTCAATTCATCAAGAATTTTCTCACTTTTTGGATTCTTCGTTCACCGTAGGCATACAAGAAAATAGTTTCCCTAATGAATTCACCATAACACGGGGTGAGTAACTGATATACAAATATCATGGGGGGGATGAAGTATTCGTGTATATATGGAAAAATACAGGTTACAAAAAATACAGACAAGTGAATGTGGAAAGTGTTTGAATTAACTACTAACATTGGGTGTCATGGCTTTTACAGTAATGCTTCATTTTACGGTCTGTGATTTCCTAGAAGTTTTTTGCACAGAACTTTGTAATTTGGTACTAATTATAGAGAGAGAGTCTTTAATTAGTACACTTGCAATTAATTAATTCCAACTAATTGCTTGTATAACCTAGAGGGTTCTTTACTCAGTGGACAGCACATCAGCTGAACACACAAAAAAAAAACAGTCTACAGGCAAGCATACGCTTTGAGATATATATGGAATGCAATGTACCCAAAAACAAAAGAACAAAAATCTTCCTTAGGAATTATTAGGAAATGACAGACCTGTAAAATAGTGTCATCAGCCGTACTGTAGTGAGGTGGTGAGATTAAGCAGGAGTCAAATCCAATTTTAGAAATAGTTTATCATGTTCTGGCACCTGCTAAAATAGCATTTATAAAGGTTATAGAACAAGTGAGTGACCGTCTAGAGTTTGGTGTCTATCATCTTTCAGCTACCTTAACTTCCTCATCCCCATCTTGATTTTCTTGTATCATCTTAAAACAACACACATCTCTGTAATCAGATTTTTAAATAGTCCTCTCTGTTTAGTGTGTCTGAGTCTGAAGACATGCATCTCTCTCTGTCTGTCTCCCTCTCAGTGTCTCTGTCCTCTGTCTGCGGGTGAAAGGGCAGAGGGAGAGCTGTGAGGTGTGAAGCAAAGTCAGTCAAGCGCACCGAACTGTCACAACTTCAGTCACAACTCTCTCCTCGTCTTCACCTGCTGAGGCTCAGCAACAGTGGAGGCTTATTCCTCCTGTCTCTCTCCTCTTCCACACCATTCATCTTAATTTTCTTTCACTTTCATTCTTCTCTATAATGGAGTACTGATATTATTCAATATCAAACGCAGATGCAGCATACCTGACTTGCACAGCTGTGTGCCAAAAGTCATGGAGCATTTGATTAATTTCTTTAAAGACATAAACATCTACAGAGCTGCTACCACAGCCCGTATGAGGAGGGGAAAAAGGGACCTTAAAGGAATTGATTATTGGCTCTAAAGTTGCTGAAAGTGGATTTTTTTTATTAGTCCCCTAACAATGGTCGTTTATCTCAGTGAAGGAAACTCAGTAAAAGCTCCTCTTGCTCCTCGCTGTAAGGACAGCTGAAATCTTCCAACATGCAGTATGTATGAGTTTTATTTTTGCCCAATGCTAAACCGGTATCCAAATCACAATCTGTATAAGTGGACTAGATATTTCTGCTGCTGATATTTTGGACTGGACTGAGCCAGAGCATCAGATTTACAGACAGGTAATTTGTTTTTTTGGACTACCAGGTTCCTGATGGACAGACAAACTGTCACATCACAGTAAGACAGCAGGGCAACATACAGGTGGTCATCCTAATTGTACAAGGAAGGGAAACATTTCAGCAATAGCGAGCATAAACATAATACACAGTTGATCTCCTCTTAAGAAGCTGTCAACTGCAGCAGATTACTAATCAATACACAGGATAATATTAGACATATTGATTGAGGCAATGGATCGACATGGAGAAACACTAATGCATCAAGACTTTAAATAAGAAAGAAAGAAATGTAAACTAAAGGACAACAGGTCTATAAAAATAAATGCGAAGTCAAGTTAATGAGGATCTGATAGTATTTTTTTTCATTTAGTTTATTTTATCATTTTGAAAAAATTCAACATTTAAGCCCAAAAATCAACTTTTTTCAGACTTTTCAGGGACCTGAAAATAAGTTGTCCTCTTTTGTGTCTCTTCCGTGTACCTGCTCTGTTCTTCCCTTTCATTCTGCCATTGTGTCAATGTCTCAGCCCAACAGAAGAACAGCAAAGTTGTCCTATCCACACACACACACACACACACACACGGTCCTCTGGAGAGGGATCTGATTTCTCGGCCTCTCTTCTTCCCTTACCTTCCCTAATCTCTGCAGAATAAAGGAATCAATTCCTCCTTATCAGTCCAGTCACATCACATTTCCTTATCTATGCAGAGGCTGTAAACTAAAAAGGATTGAAAGGCCCCAATCAGCAACAAAGGCGTAGAGCAGGGACACTGCAGTGTGATGGGAGGAGAGCAGTTTTAGTATGCAACTCCCCTCGTCAGACAGATTGATAATGGCAAAACGACGCAGTGAGAAAAAACAAACATCGGGGACAGAGATAAGTCACACAGTGCTTGTGATGATTTTTTATGCCTGTGCTGCAGAGGTAGGAGGAGAAGAGGAGAGGAGCGGAGCACGGTCGAGGTTCTCTCTGTTGGTAGAGGCAGTGAGTGGATTGTGACTAACTCATTACAGTCATGCAGATCTCTGCTTCATTAATGGCCTCTGGTCACAGGCTGACCAAGCACTGTGGTGCACTATTTCAAAATGTCCTCCAAAGATGAGTAAGCTCCTGTGGGGATAAATAAAACTGCAGATCACTGTTAGGATTACTGTATTTCCTCTAAGATGCATGAATAAATACCAGCATTGTTCACAAACTTGACTGTTCAGTTTGAAGCCATTAGGGGGCACGTCAGAGCTGAATCCTCTCTGAACACTGGAACGTCTTCCTTAAGGCTGATTTATAGTTGACGGCTCCACACAGAGCCTTCACAACTGGCCTACGCTGTCATGAGTATTTTCATTTGTGCGCTATGCGTCTAACTGGTTTGCAGTCACACTGCCAAAATACTAATTGGCATTGAGGTTTCTATACCACTGTGTTGAGTTTCTTCTGTTTTTCCAACAATGGCGACTGAAACTGAGTAGATCATAAATGTTAAATGACAGATACTTCTACTGAAATGACTGCAATGCGAGAAGTTCAGAGGGAAAAAATCAGTATTTGGTGAAACTGTTAACAACTCAGACATCTGAAATGTCACTCCAGTTACGCTCTGCGATCTATTGCGATCTGGGTCACTGTGAGGTGTAGCTTCATTTCTGGGAGGTGCACCTCAGGCTACGGAGCAAGGTACGCATTTACAGCAACCCAATGCTGTCTCTATGCCGTAGATTCAATGTAGAAGTAAAAACTGGCCTTGCCAACATTCCTCTTGTGACTAAAATGACTACATTTAGAAGTTTTGTTTCCATTAAAAAAAATCTCTTCATGCCTTATAATGGCTTTAATGTAACTCTACACCTTAGTCTCATTTAGTCTTTACAGTTCAATCCGCTCACCTGCAGCTCGAGCGCCTGCTTACCTTTGACTCTGTTTGTCGCTCCCTACAATGTTAGAAACGTAATGGTGAAAAATAACATGAGCCTTAGGCATGACTAAGAAACAGCTAATAATGTGTTGCTAATGTTAGATATACCTTAGGTAGATAAACCAGATCACCAGCTCTCACAAGATAAGGTGGACGTTACACTTAGCTTGTAAAATACTAATACGTAGCTACACCTGGCTTCTCCTCTGGTTCCTTAGATATTTGATGTATGAAACCCAGGCTG